GGGAGTGCAAACTGGTGCAGCCACTACGGAAAACAGTATGGAGATTCCTCAAAAAATTAAGGATAGAACTACCAAACAATCCAGCTATTCTACTGCTGGGTATTTATGCAAAGAACGTGAAAACACCAATGCATAAAGATACATGCACCCCTGTGTTCATTGCAGCGTTATTCACAATAGCCAAGACTTGGAAGCAACCTAAGTGCCCATCAAGGGACAAATGGATAGAGAAGATGTGGTATATACACAATGGAATACTACTCAGCCATAAGAAATGATGAAATCCAGCCATTTGTGACAACATGGGTGGACATTGAGGGTATTATGAAAAGTGAAATAAGTCGGAGGGAGAAGGTCAAATACCATATGATCTCACTCATTAAGTGGTAGATAATAACAACAAACAAACATACAAAGATTGGATTGGTGGTTACCAGAGTGGAAGGGGGTGAGGAGGGCGAAAGGGATGATTCGGCACGTGTGTGGTGATGGATTGTAATTAGTATTTGGTTGGTGAACTTGAGAACATGATGTAATCCATGCAGAAGTAGAAGTATATTGATGTACACATGAAATTTAAAAAATAAAATAAAATTAAAAAAACATGGCATCTAAAAAGAAAAAACGAAGAGAAATGAAAAAAAAAAAAAAAGAGACATACTATCTTGGCAAGCTCATCCCTGATCCATCCGATCATTCACCTTCTCCATTTCTGCACCTCTTTGTCTGAAAGTGCTGGAGAAACTCATCCCAACAGAAGGGATTTTTTTCTCTGGACCCTTTACACTGTCTGTAGAGACCCTGGCCTTTTAGAACATTTTCTTCACTTGATTTTCATGACAGAGCATATCCTGGTTTTCCTTACTCTGTTCTCTAGTTGGTATTCTTCCATTTCCTCCCGGCAGTGATTTTAATTCTTCCCCACTCTCTGTGTCCACCATCTCCTCTTGCTCTGTACAGTCATCCAGTCTCTGACTTCCATGAGAAGTTAATGCCCACTAGGCAGGAGTTCTCTGAACCTCTTGCTTCTTCCCCCAAAACATTCATGAGTACCCATGCCCTTGCACATACATATATTATCTTGAAAACATACGTACATGTTATAAAGTATAAGTTCATTTGAAAACATTTTTTAATTCATAGCAGCTTTTTTCATTATACATTCCTTTGGGTCTGGGCAGGGCTCAGAAATCTGCACTTTAAACTAGCACCTCAGGAGATTTTGATTCATCAAAATGTATTGACCGCCTACTGTGTATCCTGTCTAGGAGGGCAAAACTGCCACAGACCTCCTCTCTCACAGTTCACACTGCAGTGGGGGAATTCCGAAGGAGGTGTTTCTAGGACACACTGCTCTAGATGGGGAGGCACGCCCTCCCTGCATGTAACCACAGCAAGTCCCGCCCTCTGCATCTCCGCTTTTACCACTCCTTTCCCAAATCACTGCTTCAGCTTCCAGTCGCCTCCGCCACAGGTGCCAGAGCAATCTGTAATCCCCCAATGGAAACATAGTGCTCCTCCTCCGCACTAGACCCTTCATTGTCACCACATGGCCCTCAGGGGAAAGACAAATTCCTAAGTTTAGCCCCTGTTGGCCTCTGCAGCCTCTTCCTCCCAGGCCCTGTGTTCCAGCCAGACCCATCCCTTCCCCCCAGTTCCAGGATAGATCCTTTATACCTACGGTTCTCTCTCCTTAAAATACCCTTCTCTTTTATTTTTCTGGCTAATATTACTGCACAAAAATGAGGTTCTCCTACCCAATGTGCATTAAAAAAGCCAATTAATTACAGCATCAGATTTGGGAAAAGAAAACAGCTTTATTGTTAGATTGATCTGCAAGGAAACAGGAAGCATATACTCTCAGATCTAGCTCCCTGATCTAGGGCTTGGGGCAAAACTTATGGGACGAAGGGCAAGGTGATCTGAAGTGTGGAGATAGATGCTTGGAGGTGAGGAGAAGTGAGGTCATTGATGATCTGTGCAAGCGTCATCCAGCTTCATGGCTCTTCATAGGACACATGTTAACAAAATGATGGTGTTAGTGTGATCTGAGGGTGGAGTTTTCAGCCCTTTGATGTCAAAAGGGTCACTTATCAGGTATTTGTGCAGGCCCAGTTGATGTGTTGGTGGTCTCAACTAGCCTGAACTAGACAAGAGGGGACTCTCAGTTCCTGTAAAACAACTCTTAATTACTCTGTTGATAAGATCAGGTTGGTTGAGCTGGTCCTAGAGGGCCTGAGGTTACACTAACACTCTATTTTTCAAAAATTGACCCGCATATTCCCTCCTCAGGAGCACTCCTCTGAGTGTCCGGGGGTGGATTGGTCCCTCCCACCAACCTCCACCCCTTGTCTGCGAAGGTCCCTGCTGTCTCTGGTCGCTGGTTATGTCAGCTACTCCAGTCAGACTGGCAGCTCTCTATAGGCAGGGACTGTGTCACTTATCTTTGAATCTCTCGGACCTACACAAAACCCAACCACTGTAGATATTCAACAAACAATGTGTTCACTGGCGGGAGAGTTTTCCAGCCTCAGGAATACACAGTAAATGTGAACATTCCCTTGCGTTCCACAAGCTCAGAGCTCATTCTTGGCCTTGCTGATGCTCTTGTAACAGGGAAGCCGTAACCCCCTGGGACGTGTTCCTACAGTGAGAGTGTGCACTGCGTTAGTCCTCAGCAGTGATGGGCGGCTGTGAAGACTGCTTAATGTTAACAGCTAATAAGATGGTTCTGCAAACCCAAAGTAAATGCAAATCTTTTAAAGAGGTAGTATTTTTAGCCTGCAGAGTGGCATTTTTTTTTTGTATTTGTTTTGTTTTGGCAGATGCTTGCTCAGAAATCTGGCAACATCATCAACATGTCCTCTGTGGCTTCCAGCATCAAAGGTGAGTCTGTCTTCCTCTGGGGTCATGATGCACATACGCACACACCTTCACCAGCTAAGGGTTTTGGGAACAAGCATAGCAGAGATGATAAAACTCACGCATAACTTTGAAACTGCTTTTTTAAAACTAGTGTTAAGTTCCTTAACTACCAGTCCTTTCACCTTAGATGTGAACCAGTCATAAAATTAAATAAGCGTTTGTTTGCTTTGCTGTCCCTTTTATTCCTTCTAATGGATATGGAAATGAAAATCAAACTGGGAAAAGGAAACATTTATTCATTTATTTAATCAAAAAAGATGTATTGAGGGGCCGGCCCGGTGGCGCAAGCGGTTAAGTGCGCGCGCTCCGCTGCGGCGGCCCGGGGTTCGCTGGTTCGGATCCCGGGCGCGCACCGACACACTGCTTGGCAAGCCATGCTGTGGTGGCGTCCCATATAAAGTGGAGGAAGATGGGCACAGATGTTAGCCCAGGGCCGTCTTCCTCAGCAAAAAAAAAAAAAAAAAGATGTATTGAACACCCAGTATGTGCCCCTGCTGCAAAATAATTCACAGTCCAAAAAGGGGAGAGAGTCAAGCAAACACATATCTTCTGCAGTGTCATAGTATCGTAACAGAGGTTTGTAGGAAGTGCTGTCACAATACGGGAAGAAACTCTGCCTGTGGGCTTGGGGAGTGCTTCACAAAGACAGATGGTCTGGGCCCTAAATGAGAAGTCAGGGTGAAGGGCCAGGATTGCAATGCAAAATGGAGATAAGGGCACAATATGGCACACACGGATCTGCCAGTTGAAAATGAAATAGCTACTTCTGAGACAACAATCCTTCTCTTTGCAAGGATACACACGTTAAGCCTGCATGAGAGAGGAATGCAAAGAAATGCCTAAGCGTCCTGGTCTCTTGCGTTTTGTTTTATTCTTTGTATTATCCTTATCTGGCTTTGGATCATGGTGATGTTGGCCTCGTAAACTGTGTTAGGAAGTGTACCTCTTCTTCAGTTTTTTTGGAATAGTTTGAGAAGGATAGGTAGTAAATCTTTGAATGTTTAGTAGAATTCTCCAAAGAAGCCATCTGGTCCTGGACTTTTATTTTTTGGGAGGTTTTTGATTACTGTTTCAATCTCTTTATTGTGATTAGTCTATTCAGGTTCTCTATTTCTTCTTAATTCAGTTCTGGGAGGTTGTATGAGTCTAAGAATTTATCCACTTCTTCTAGATTGTCCAATTTGTTGGCATATAGTTTTTCATAGTATTGTCTTATAATCCTTTGTATTTCTGCAGAATCTGTTGTAATTTCTCCTCTTTTATTTCTAATTTTATTTATTTGTGCCTTCTCTCTTTTTTTCTTAGTGAGTCTGGCTAAGAGTTTGTCAATTTTGTTTATCTTCTCAAAGAACAAGCTCTTAGTTTTATTGATCCTTTCTACTGTCTTTTTGGTTTCAATTTATTTTTGCTCTAATTTTTATCATTTCCTTCCTTCTGCTGACTTTGGGCTTTGTTCTTCTTTTTCTAGTTCTGTTAGTTGTAGTTTAAGACTGATTATTTGGGATTTTTCTAGTTTGTTAAGGTGGGCCTATATTGCTGTGAATTTTCGTCTTAGGACCAATTTTGTCGCATCTCATATGAGTTGGTATAGTGTATTTTTATTTTCATTTGTCTCCAGATATTTTTTGATTTCTCCTTTAATTTCTTCAATGATCCATTGGTTGTTTAGTAGCCTGTTGTTTATTTTCCACATGTTTGTCACTTTCCCAGCTTTTTTCTTGAAGTTTATTTCTAGTTTCATAGCATTATGGTCAGAAAAGATGCTTGATATGATTTCAATCTTCTTAAATTTATTGAGGCTTGGTTTGTTTCCCAACATATGCTCTATCTTTGAGAATGTTCCATGTGCACTTGAGAAGAATATGTATTCTGCTATTTTTGGATGGATTGTTCTATATATATCTATTAAGTCCATCTGATCTAGTTTTTTGTTTAGTTCCACTATTTCTTTGTTGACTTTCTATCTGGAAAGTCAACAAGTGGGGTGTTAAGGTCCCCTACTATTATTGTGTTGTTGTTAATATCTCCTTTTAGGTTTGTTAATAATTGCTTTATGTACTTTGGTGCTCCTGTGTTGGGTGCATATATATATATATAAGTGTTATGTCCTCTTGGAGGAGTGTCCCTTTTATCATTATATACTGGCCCTCCTTGTCTCTCATTGTCTTTTTTATCTTGAAGTCTACTTTGTCTGATATGAGTATGGCAACACCTGCTTTCTTTTGTTTGCCATTAGCTTGGAGTATTGTCTTCCATCCCTTCACTCTGAGCCTGTATTTGTCTTTAGAGCTGAGATGTGTTTCCTGGAGGCAGCATATTGTTGGGTCTTGTTTTTTAATCCACCCAGCCACTCTGTGTCTTTTGATTAAGGAATTCAATCCATTTACATTTAGAGTGATTATTTATATATGAGGGCTTAATACTGCCATTTTATCACTTGTTTTCCAGTTGTTCTGTATTTCCCTTGTTTCTTATCCTGTGTATTTTGGACTGCCACTTCAGTTTGGTGGCTCTCTATGATGGTTTTCTCAGTTTTCTCTTTATTTAACATTTGTGTTTCTGTTTTGATTTTTTGTTTAGTGGTTACTGTGAGGTTTGTATTAAAGATCTCATAGATAAGGTAGTCCATTTTCTGATAGCCTCTTATTTCTTTAGTCTAAGCAGGTTCCATCCTGTTCCTCTTCCCCATCTATGTTATTGTTGTCACAACTTATTCTGTTTTGTGTTGTGAGTTTGTGGTTAAAATGATTTTATTTATTCTTGATGTTTTCCTTCCTTTATCTTTAATGTTATAGTTAATTGTTTGCTAATCTGTTCTGCTAGAGAGTTGCAATTTTCTGATTTTGTCTGCCTATTTATCTCGTTGCTCAAGGCTTTGTAAATGCTTTCTTTTTTTTTTTTTTTTCAGGTCTGAGGGCCTTCTTGGTTGTATCTTGTAGGGGGCATCTTGTGGTGATGAACTCCCTCAGCTTTTGTTTATCTGGGAGTGTTTTTATTTCTCCAACATATCTGAAAGATATTTTCACTGGATAGAGTATTCTTGGCTGAATGTGTTTGTCTTTCAGAATTTTGAATATATCATTCCACTTTCCTAGTCTGTAAGGTTTCTGCTGAGAAATCTGCTGAAAGCCTGATAGGAGTTCCTTTTTAGGTTATTTTCTTCTCCCTTGCTGCCCTTAATATTTTTTTCTTTGTCATTGACTTTTGCCAGTTTTACTAATATATGCCTTGGAGAAGTCTTTACATTGATGTAATTAGGTTCAGACCCAGTGGGGAGGCCTATTAGCTTCTTTTACTTGTAATTCCAGCTCCTTCCCCAGGTGTGGGATGTTCTCAGCTATTATTTCTTTGAACAAGCTCTCTGCTCCTTTTTCCCTCCCTTCTCTCTCTGGAATACCTATAATCCTTATGTTGCATTTCTTAATTGAGTCAGAAATTTCTTGGAGAATTTCTTCATTTATTTTTCATCTTAGTTCTCTCTCTCTCCTCCTCCATCTGAAGCATTTCTATATTCCTAGCCTCTAAACTGCTAATTCTGTCCTCCATAATATCAGCCCTGTTATTTAAGGACTCCAGATTTTTGTTTATCTCATTCATTGTGTTTTTCATCTCTAACATTTCTGATTGGTTTTTCTTTATAGTTTCAATCTGTTTTGTTAAGAATTCCCTCTGTTCATTAATTTTGTTCCTAATTTCGTTGAACTGTCTTTCTGAGTTCTCTTGTAACTTTTTGAGTTTTTTTATGATAGCTATTATGAATTCTCTGTCATTTAGATTGTAGATTTCTATGCCTTCAGGATTGATTTCTGAGTGTCTTTTTCCTTCTGGTTGGGAGTATTAATATACTTCTTCACACAATTTAATGGGGTGGATTTGTACCTTCACACAGTGATAGTATCTTGTTGCAGATTCCACCTGATGCCACTGGGGACAGGGCAGGAGTTGCGTATTCTAAGCCTGCCATGATCCCTGTCAGCTGTGCCTGTCTGAGCCTTGGCCACTCTTTGGCGGCCCTGTGGGCTCTCCCACCAAATGGGAAAGCAATCACATGGGGGCTCAGGGCTGTTGCTGCCTGCTCCCACAGTCCCACTGAGATGTACTCCCCCCTTCCAGCCGCAGCGGTACTATGGGCATTTGCGGTAGCTGGGAACTCATTCGCCCAGGCATGCAGATCCGCCACTGCTTCCTCCTAGGTTGCACCAGCCATTGTGCTTGATGGGTGGGGCCTCTCCACTGGGTCCGAGCCTGAGCCACTCCCTGGGACCATGGCGGCACTGTGGGCTCTACCCCAGATGGGAAAGTGATCATATGGGGTCTCAGGGCTGCCATCACCTGAGGCAGGTGTGCTGAGGCATGCTGCCACCATTGGAGCCACAGCAGTACTATGGGCACTGTAGCTGGGAAAGCAGTCACACATGTGTACAGGGCTGCTGGGGGGCCAGAGGGTGCTCACCTGTCTCCACAACCTCCCTGGGAGTAGTCCATCCCCTTTCAGATGAGTAGCTGTGTGGGTCTCTCAGATGTCTCATTGTGCTGTGTCAGTATCCTCTGCTAATCAATGAATGTCCATTTAGTTGTAATTTGAAGGGGGAGAGACAAAGGGAACAGCTCACTCTGCCATGTTGTTGACGTCACTCCTAATTTTCTTTTGGAATCTGCCTAAGGGTTCTCCCAGCTGATGATGAAAAACTAAGGCTACTGCTGTCATTTAAGTGCAGCATCTCAACACCTAAGTCTCAGTTGAGTGCCAATAATATTATTTTCCCAGATTCAGAAACTAGCTCTATTCAGAGCAAAAACCTGATATTAATTTTTAAAAACGGTTGGGTGGGAGGAAGCATGACACTGGTTACTGGGGACACTTATCTGTGTTCCTTTTCTAAAGGAGACTATGTTTTTTATTCCTTCAATTGTCCAACCTTCTCTTCATGCGCAGGAGTTATGAACAGATGTGTGTACAGCACAACCACGGTGGCCATGACTCGCCTCACCAAGTCCATGGCTGCAGACTTCTTCCAGCAGGGGATCAGGTGCAGTTGTGTGTGTCCAGGTGAGTTGGGCTCCTTGGGGCTGTGAATTTGTCCTTCCTGACATCCCAGGTGCCACTGGGAGATCTACATGAGCTTGTTCACCACCTGTTATATTGGAAAAAGTTCAAAAGAAAAAGAGTCTAGACTCGTTATGGTAACAGTCCAAGAGTAAGTTGGGAAAGAGATCCTAAGTCATCAAGAATGAACCACAGAGGGGGCTGGTCTGGTGGCATAAGAGTTAAGTGCACACGCTCTGCTTCAGGAGCCCAGAGTTCGCAGGTTTGGATCCCCAGCGTGCACCAATGCACCGCTGGTCAAGCCATGCTGTGGCGGCGTCCCATGTAAAGGGGAGGAAGATGGCCATGGACGTTAGCTGAGGGCCAGTCTTCCTTGGCAAAAAAAAAAAGTAGGATTGGCATCGGACGTTAGCTCATGGCTGATCTTCCTCACAAAAAAAAAAGACGAGCCAGAGAGACAAATGGTTTAAAGGCTCATGTGCGTGGGGGCAATTCTAAACCATGTGGTTAAGAGACATAATTCGCCAAGGCTTGCTGTTTTGGAAGCAGACCAGGGATGACCTTGTCAAGGGAAAGATGAAAATTAGACCACGTTCCCAGGACAGCAGAAGAAATTAAGAGGAGCCTCCCAGGACACAGGGGCTCTGCCAGGTAAATCGCCTGGGTTGGCCCAAGAATCAAAAGGAGGGATTAGCACCTTTCTTTATGCCATACACAGATAGTCGGCAAACTATGGCCTGCAGGCCAAATCCGGCCCACCACCTGTTTGTAAATACAGTTTTATTGGAACACATCCACACCCAGTTTGCTTCTATGTTGGCAATGACTGCTTTCATGCTACAATGGCAGAGTTGAGACCAAATGGTTCTCAAAGCCAAAAATATTTACTGTTTGCCTATTTACCCAAAAAATGTGCTGACCTCTCATAAAAGAAAGGAGAAAAGCAGAACTTAGTAGAAAGGACATTCAATATGTCCAAACTAAAGCTTCTGATAATTTATTTCTTAGGAATAACTTCTCATTTTGTTAATATCAGTGGGTGTGTCTATTAAATAGAGATGCCCTTTCACCTGGCTCCACTGACCAAAGTGAGCACAGGTGCCTAAGAAGAAGTACTAACTTCCTCTCTGAGAAGAAATGAAGTTGCACATCCAGGATCAAGTTTCTCTCAGTGGTTCACAACTGGTTCTGGGGTTGTGGAGGGGAAGCATTTCACAGTTACCTGTGGGGCCTTTCAGAACCTGAAGGGCATGCTAGGATCTGGGGAAGGAGCTGGTGGAGAGTAGTCTGGACAGCCCCACTGGGGACTCTGATGTAACCCAGCCTGGTCTCCCCTCAGGTTGAAAACCACTGATTTATTGGTTAAACAGGGAAAATGACTAAATACCTTTTGTCGACACAAAATAACCAATAACCATTATATAGGTAAGAGAGATAAGGTGAGATTTACTTGAGCCAGGGTGAGGACTAGCACAGGAGGGCAGTCTCCACAAAGGAAGAAAGCGTTCCAGAGAAGCATGGTTTTCAGTACAGTTTTATACCTTTTTAGAACAAAGAACATACATAAAACACGCCCAGGATACATGTGCATCAAAGTTTCAGAGAGGTATTCAGTTGCAGATTAGCAGGTCAACATGACCCTGATGTTGGGAAAGGGAATTTATCTTCAGGAGCACTGATAGGGCTTACCGGCTTACCATACTGGTGGATATTGGTGGGCGTAGGAGGGGAAGTATGCATCCTTATCTTCAAAGAGTGCATTCTTTTTTTTTTTTTTTTTAAAGTCACCTGGATGTGACGTTTATAATTTTATTTATTTATTTATTTTTTCCCCCCAAAGCCCCAGTAGATAGTTGTATGTCATAGTTGCACATCCTTCTAGTTGCTGTATGTGGGATGCGGCCTCAGCATGGCCGGAGAAGCAGTACGACGGTGCACGCCCGGGATCCGAACCCGGGCCACCAGCAGTGGAGCGCGTGCACTTAACTGCCAAGCCACGGGGCCGGCCCAAAGAGTGCATTCTTTTACTTTGAGATGAGGCTTAATGCACTCTTTACTTTAATGGTTAAGGCAGATGTTTGATAGGCCATAAGTCAGGCTTCTTTAGTTCAAGCCAGATCAGTTTTGAACCAAAAGAGCTACCCCATATACCTCAATATGTGAAAATTTCTTGTCACCTTCAAGCTACAGCATTCCCATTATTGAGGTGTTGTGTATAATTTTTGTTGTACTAAAAAGATAAATATTGGTAACATTAAGAAAAAGGAGGATACAGGAGAGACAGTTTCACTGGGTTTTAACATACAAAATGGTGATACCTGAGTCTAGCTGTTCTTGGTGCCATGTACCCAGTGGAATAAATGGCAAAACATTTTGGAAAATGTGATTGTTTTAGCAGCTAGACTTTTCAGAAGATTGGAAAATATGTTATCAAATTTTCTGGAACAAGGAACTAGCTGTGACTCACTGAGCCAGTCCCAGAAGGAAATGTGATGAGGAATGAGTGTGTCTGGGATGGTGCTGAGGGCTGTAGAGTCACAGCTCATCAACACGACTTGTGTGGACAGTAGCATGGTGTGTCAGCCTGTGCCATCGACACAACAGAGGCAGGTGACAGTGGAATGAAACAGAAGGCATAGGCTTGCTCCACAGCTTTCATTTAATAGCCATTCATACCGGCCACATGTAAGATGTGACGCTCCTGCGCCCCAGTGGGAGGAAGCTGTAAAAGCTGTAGGGATTTGGAGGAGAGTGTTAGAGAAGCTTAAGGCGCCTTGGGCACACTGCTGGTGAAATGTGGGACTTTAAGGAGGCTATCGATAAGGGATATGAGGAAAATGTTATCCGAAACTGGATACAAGGGTTTGTTATGTGGTTTCAGAAATTTTATCAACACTATTGGCTGTAGTGACATGGAAGGTAGAAGATGTTCCTAATGAACCAGATTGATGTAGTGAAGGCAATTTCCACCCAGAGTGTAGAGAGTGCTGCCCCTCAGAGTAAAATGTGAGAGGAGAGAAAAGCTAGAGAAAGGGCTGTTAAACAGAAAGTAGCCAGAACGTGCAGATTTTGAAGTTTCCCAGCCTCTCCAAAGAAATGGTGATAAAATTAAGAAATGGTTTCCGAGCAAACATCAAATCTCTGGCGCTCTCAGGAGCATGGTCTAAAGACAGAGCTGAGGGCTGACTGCAAAATCATTTTTTATGACTTCACAAAGACCATGTGGTCTCCTGGATTACTGTCAGCCAGAAAAAGGCCCTCTGAAGAGAATTTACAGATTACATATGTTAATGAAAAAGTCTGGGGAACTTGCTCTGTAGGAATGTGAACTAAGTGAGATTTAAAAAATTTTAGTGTCATTCTTATTTTTCTTTTTTTAAAGTAAAATATTGTAAATTATATTTTTTGATGAGAAACATGAAACAGTGTTAAAATAGGAATTTGAAGCCAATGAAAATAGGAAAGATAATGAGGAAAATTTAGAGCCGAGGACCATGACAGGCATCCAGTTGTCCCTGAGGGTTCAGAGTGAACTTAACAGCAAAGAATGGTTTTGAGATCATGATGACAATGTGGGTCCTTGTACTGGTGAAGAACTTGGATGGTTTTCTCTACCCCGCAGGGCTGTTGTGAAGATCACTGAGATAGTACCTGTGAGAGTCCGTACAGTCCATAAAGCATCACGTCAATGTGATGTGACTACAATGCTGGGGATTCACCGCAAGTCCCTGCCTCATGTCACAGAGAATTACAGTCTGTGCTTTTAAAAAGCACAGAAATGTTACTAAAGAAGTTATAAGCCTATTAAATAAAAGGGCAGGCAGGTAGAGGTGAAATTGTCATTCCAAGTCAAAGAGAGGATTTCTCTGATCACTGTATCCTACGGAAAGGAAGTTTAAAATTTAATTGTCAATTTCTTTTTCAGTCTAAGTAAGTAACCAAGCTGAATGTCCCCCTTTGATTTAGGAACACTTGACACCCCATCTCTGCAATAAAGAATACAAGCCAGACCAAACCCCGAAGAGGTATACCTACTATTTTAAATGTGTTTAAATCTTCTGGTTAAAAAAATGCCCTCTTCCTTACTTAGGGTAGACAAATGCATAGAGACAGAAAGTAGAAGGGTGGGTGCCAGGAGCTGGGAGAGGGGGAATGGGGAGTTAGGGTTTCGTGGGTAGAGAGTTTCAGTTTTGCAAGATGAAAAGAGTTCTGGAGATTGGTTGCACAACAATGTGAATGTACTTAACACTACTGAACTGTACACTTAAAAATGGTTATGATGATAAATTTTATATTATGTGTATTTTACCACATTTTCAAAAAAATTAAAAAGCCCTCTTCTTTAATATTAATTTTTAATATTAACTTTGATCTGTCACAGTGTCTGCAGGCTTTAGTATAACACAAATATTTGAGCAGCTTGGGAGTCACCATAGTCCTGCTTGGCCCACAGTTAATGATAGTAATGATATTCTCATGTATCATGTGTCATGCGTGAGTAATCAAGGCAGCAAGCCAGTGGTGCCTCTGTAGATTCCTCTTGCCTTTGACCTCCTGAAGGAGTTGCAGGTGAGTTCACACCTCAGCTCGCATCACTGATGTCTGGTATGGTTTCTGGTCACAGGCACTGAGTGATTTCCTAACGAGACAGAAGACGGGAAGATTTGCAACCGCAGAAGAAATAGCCCTGCTCTGCGTGTATCTGGCTTCTGATGAAGTAAGCACTGTTCTTCCCAGGGAGGTCATTATCCTCAATCACATTTGGCCACTACTTACTCAGCAAAATAATATCATTTTAGAGAGTTATGGCATATATATGTTAAGATGCTGCATTTACAAGGCAGGGATAAGTTCTGATTTAATTTTCTCAAAGAAAGGCCACTGTGATCTGAGCCACCAACTCTTCCTCATTCAACTTTACAGCTCACTAAATCTTGTAGCAAATAAAGTGGGAGATTGAAAAAAATTAAATTGCTCAATTTTATGAGAGACAGTTGCCTTCAAAAATTACAATTGGGGAAACCTTGATTAAATGTAAATCAAACAAATGAACCTCCAAAATCATGAGGGCTTCAGGTGAAATGGAGAGAGAGTTAACCAGATTTAATCGTGTACAGGAGACACAGAATTGGCATCTGGTGTTCTTAGTTTTACTGGTGACTTGTTTAGAAGAATCCCACTGGCTCTTTTTTCCTATGAATTCTTACTGTTTGTCATCATATATGGAAATTCCTAATTCTGTATCTTTCCACTTTGCATCTGTTTAGTAACCAGTTTCTTCCTAACGGCTATTGTATATTTTTAAGTGGCCTACAGCTGCAAAAGCAGAAACTATATTTATAAGGAATAGAGCACAAGAACCTCCCTGTGTTATGTCTTGGAATATTACATGCCCTGGGAACCTAATGTATTGTGTCACTGATCAGTCGGCTCCTCTCTACAGGAGCCTGGTGCACACCGGGTGGCTGGTGAATGTGACAGATACAGGGGTTGAAATGTCTTAGTGACAGAGCAGTTACTACTTGTCAGAACTATTAACAACAGCTGTTAATAGCTGGTGAAATTGCTAGATAAATGACTAATGGAGCAAGTCCACTGGCTTTTGTGATTTCTCTGAATCCATCTCTCTAGAAGAGCTCATTTGATTTGCCAGTACTGCTGATAAGCTGAATTGTCCTTGTTTAGCCAGAGCTTAGGTTACCAAATATTTGGAAATGTTCTGGCTTGAAATGTGCAACAAAAGGAGCTTTGGCCTTTTAGAGGAGCCAGAGGAGTCCATATGTAAAACAGAGACCTTGCCTTTTAAAACAACTGGGGGGAATTGGGGTTGTTTGTTGGTAAACTGATTTATCTGCTTTATACGATCAGTTTTCATAAATTGAACTTTAAAACTTTCTGTACTTATTATGATGTCTTTCCTTCCTGCCTCTTCCATTGTCTCTGGCTTTAGATGAATTTAAAACTAAGAACACAGATCTGAGTCTATATTATCCATGTTTAAGCTAAAAGACTGTTAAACCTCTACCACAAGGATCTCTTCAGCTTTAATTCTTTGGAAAATGAAAAATTCTGTGGAAAAAAAACAGTAACGTTTTTTAACTCCTTTAGTTTTATAGAGATTTAGATATCTGAAACTAGTATAGAATATTTTTTCATAGTTTAGTATATTATTATTATTCACATAAATTTTAAAAACATATTTAGCATGCTTCAGCTCCTGGAATTACCTATGTATATTGACTAACTAGATATACGCTTTTTAAAAAATTTTTGTTTGTTAATTGACATCACCACTTAATTACTGACACACTTGATTATGTTCAAAAGTTTATTAGTGGCATAAAACTCAGCTAGTTTAGAATAGTTCTGAGTTTCAAAATGAAAATGTACTATTTTAGCCTGCACTTTATCCTAATTTGGAGAATGGCTATGTATCACCAAACTGCTTAATTTTCTGATTCTGAGACCAAACACCTAACAGCCCCTGCTTAGAATGTGATGTGTGCTCAAACACCAGCTAGAGGCCAGTTAGCTCCAGGTCACAAGAACACGCAGCAGTTTCAAATCACTCGTAACTTAATTCCAATTTTCCTAAATTCTGTTTGTTAAGTGCAATTTCCTGTTACCACAAGAGTAAATTGTTATCTCAGTCGTAGAACAGTTGAAGAAACACAACCTGTGTGAAACCTGGCTAAGCGTCCCGTCTCCTTGTGTCTGTCCCTGCAGACTGCCTACGTGACAGGGACTCCTGTCGTCATCGATGGAGGCTGGAGCCTGTGAGGCAGGGTCTCCTCGAGGGCAAGACAGGCCCTTCCCGTCCACAGGGTGTGAAGAAAACTCACTCAACATCTCTTTCCTATTAATGGTATATTAGTGAAAACAAGCCCTTTTTAATGATGTCATTGTTCACTAGAGTTTGATTCTTTAAATATATTAATCTCTTTTGAAATCATTGTAGGTTAATAACATCACTGCAAAAGAATGGTTTTTAAAATAAGCCTGAATTTGTAAGCATATAAAATTAAAATTAGTATGAAGGAAAAAAGGAAGTTTTTTAAAAGAAAAATGTATTAATTTCTATTTTATTTCTATTTCCCAATATTCAAATATTTTTGTTCAAGTCTGCATTGGTCAGTATGTGGATAATAATTTAAAATTTTTACATCATTATAAATGAACACCAAAGGTAGGAAGAAGTTTGGCTTCAATAATTTACATTAAAAGAACTATAAAGGACTATTCAGAACTGCATGTTGGTCTGTTATGTAAAAGAAAAATAATCATCAGGTGTTTATACTTAATGGATGTCATCACTTGTAATTAAGTACTATTGTCTTAGTCTAACTAAAAAATCTTTATTAAAATAAACAATGACATTTGATGTGAACCTAACAAACATATAGTTAACTAACTGGCAGTATTGTCAGTTTGAGGGATAATTTTTAGATTAAGTGTAGATTTCTTCACCAAATTCCAGGATAACAGACAAGAGGACATAAAATTTAGAAATAGTCTCTGGATAAATAAATATAAATTAATCATATAACAGGAAACAAAACTAAAGAAAATAAAATTTTCAAGAAAAAGTTCAAGTAAATTCATGGATGATAAGTCTATAACAAAGTACTAGGAAGAAATTTTTTCTTGTTCTTTTAGTTTTAGGTTTTTGTTTGTTTTTTTATTTGTTGCAACCTCAAAAGACCAAATAGTATGATGCATAGATACTCAGTAAATACTGAGTATCTATCTATGCATAGATAATAATTTATGCATAGATAAATGCAGTATCTAACTGCAAAAGCAGTTAGTCTTTTCTCTTAGAACCTTAATTAATATTAACAAGGAAATTTTTTAAATGGACAATGAAAGGATAACATTTTATATATGAAGAATATTATGCAGTTGATGAAGATGAGTTAAAATTGACAGCAAAGGATATTTTGACTAGCATTCCTGAAAAGTGATTGATTGTAAGCTTTGCCTTGGGGTTCTGGACCAGGTGTTCCTCTACTGGACCACAGCTTGGTTTGTGACCTAGACCAAGTCACCTAATTTATCTTGGATGTTAGTTTTCTACTTTGTGAAATTAGGGAGTTAGGCCAAATGACTTGCGTTTCTTTTGGTGTATCATAATCAAAATGCTGTAACTTATCAAGGGAAGTAACAGAACACTGAAGCTTATGTTATGGAGTACTTTATGCTGTGAGCAGATGGGCGTCTATATGTATAGCTTAGAACAAAGGAATTCTAAATAAACACGATGGATTCCAACATTAACAAATGACCCCTCAGAGTTCTCTCAGAGCTAACTATAAACTATAAAACATTATCAACAATAAAAGTAAAGTAAAATCGAGCCAAACAGTTCAATGTTTTCTAAAGTCATGTTAATTAAATCCAATTGATGGATCATTGAAGAGCATATGACTGAAAGAAAAGGAAAAATATATTTCATTCCTGTGGTAAGAGGAAGTTGGATGTCACTAGAAACTTTTCCAGCTTTAGGAGAGGAAGAGTTCCGTTTAGGAAAAGAACCATCGTAGATGCACTGAAGAAGGTTATTGGACAGAAGTTGGGTTTACCCATTCTTTCCACAAAGGAGGACCTGAGAGACGAGAATGAGCGGTTTCTTTCTGGGGGAGACATTTACTTGAAATTGTCTCTCTTGCCTGAAAAGCAGTGATAAAAACTGGCACTTGCTTAAAGGAGTGAAAAACAGGTAAGAATATTTGTATTTACGAAGGAAATGAAAATTACCCCGAAAGGGGCGCGCGCGCCTAGACACAGTTAGTTGGAGGGGGTAAATCTAGGGAAAGGAAAACACAAGACATGGGAGGAGGTTTAAAGGAAAGAGTGTCACCCTGCTGATGGGAACGCTAAAATCTAAAACACAGCGAGAAGGCTCCTGGTAAAGAAGCGACAAGAGGGGGACCCGCCTACGCTGGTCACCTGAAGAGAGAGCCCTGTCTTCCCAGCGCATCAGAGAAGACACCTCTAACAAGCACCACTAAAAGGTGGAGTTAAGCTCCAGACTGTGGAAGCCGGTCTGGGGAACGACACCCGAGCACTGGGCTGCCGGCCTGCACTGCCCGCCCCGCAGAGCCGCCCGCGTGCCCTCGCCCGGGTCTCGGCTCCGCCG